GAGATCTTGGTGGGCCAGAAGTCTAAGCCATCTTGGCTAAATTCTTTAATCACCACGGTGTCTGCTTCAGTCACATTTAATAAAATGAAACTTACACTAATTTGTGTTAAACTCTTTAGTTTGGGGATGATTTTGAGATGTGGGGATGTTGGATTTTGGACAGGAGGAAGCCCTATCGATACTAAACTAGGATTTTGGTGACGTGTATAATTCCCACACAGTAAATACAGAAGATATTGGAGACCTGTTTCTGGGATGACATTTTTTTTACCAAGCCCAGCTGCCTGCCGTCGGAGGACTCCATCATGCACAACTTGGTCGGTGTCCCACTTGTGGACGAGCAGGCTGGGAAAGCCCTTTGGGAAACAAATGCTCATCATCTCTATTAAGGAGTTTGAGAATGCACGTGTATGGTGTATAGTTACGCAGTGTTCCAGGCCTTCCTGGGAGCACCCAGTGGATTCAAACTGCCAACCTCTCAGTTGGCAGCACAGCACATAGCCCCCCGCATCACCAGGACATCTTCGTAAACTGCAGCATCAGTTGGTCCCTTGCTAGCTAACAACCACATCAGCATCCTTACCTAGACAAGTATGGTTTTCTAAAAGTTGCCTTTTAGTCTTAGAACTGATTGTTGCCTTTTGAAAGTGACCATCAAAGTAGTTAACGTGTTCTGACCACACAAAAAAACAGCTTGAGCAGCTAGAAATAGGAAGTTAAACGTCCTTCCTACTTTATAGTTCAGAAGGGGCAGGGGCTGTTTTAACAAGTACTCTGGGGTACAGAGAGGTCCCCAAAGCTGTGAGGAATCAACTACACCCAAGGGCTCATTTCATCCGCCTGTTCCCAGGGGTGTGGTAGGACTCCCACCGTTCCCTGCTATGACTCATTGGAGGAGACCCCTGATTGTGCTGCAGGGTGTTGTGCCAGCCATCCCTGCTCACAAGGCCCTTGGATGTTTTAGCACACCTGGGGCCCAAGGACGTCTGTCTGCCTGGTGACCATGGGCTTTGGAGCCAAGTGAACACAATCCCCAAGGCTCCCCTAGAGCCCCTGCCCAGGTCCCAGGCCCAAGCTGAGCTACTCTGACAGTGACAGAAGCAAAGAACGCTGGGGAGGCAGGGCCACCAGGGAGTGCAGCGACTCTGGGACGGACCTGTTCTCCAAGTCCCAGTAGGGCTCTCTGAGGCTGGCAGGGGGGTGGCTGAGGTGATAGGGGTCCTCTGACACGTCTGGCAGGTTAAACTCCACGATCTTCCTCCTCCCACCACCCTCCTCCTGATACTCCTTGGCTGTGGCCCTCTCCGGGAGCAATTCAGAACCACTGGTCCCAAAAGTCAGAGGGTTCAAGCTGTGGCCTAAGACGGTGCTGTCCAGGTCTGTAAGGCTGCCCAGCCTGGAGGGCGCTGACATTTCCGGCGGGAAAACTATGGGGGTGTGGCTGAGAGGTGTCTCAGGTGCGCTGTGGTAGCCTGGCCTTTCGTACAGCGGGCTGGACCTGAGCTTCCAAGCCTTGCTGTCGTCCAGGTCTCCGGGGACCTGCTGGCCTCCTGGGAACATCAGACTCCCCTTGGGCTCCTTGAATGGGTGCTTAGCGAGACCCATCTTGTGAGGAACACACTCCTTCCTGTGTGCTAGCAGTCGTGTCTTGGAGTTTGTCCTGTTGGGGTGCTCGTGGGACTGTAGCCCCAGGAAGCGGCCGATGATGCCAGTGGGCCCGATCCCCTCCTCATCCTGGCCCTTGTGTGCTGGCTGAAACTTCATATCATCTTTACTCACACTGCAGAGAAGAGGGGTGAAGGCTGACTCACTTCTCCCTGCCCCCCGCCTCCCGGCTAAGGCCAAAGCCAAGGCCACTCACTATCTTCCTTAGTGTCTGGACTCTCCCTCTGAGACATCACGTATCTGAGGCTCCTTCCTGCTCACAGAGGTCATCTAAGCTCCCTCCCCTGGCACTTCCAAGCCTCCTCATTCTCACCTATGCCATCCCTTAAAACTCCTCACTCCCCGGCAAACAGAACTCCCAGGCATGGGCATCTCGGACAGGGACCAAGAGCCCCTTAGCGAGACCACAGATGTGTGGTCCTAACCAAAGAGCAGCATCCACAGGTTAGCGGGCTCCCGGGCAGCAGCCTTTGGGGGCCCACGGCCTTTATTCTGCAGGAGGAAGCTACCCGCCCCAGCATATGGCCTGGCCTCCTTGTCTGTGTCCAAATTCGCATCCTCCAAGACTCAGCTCCAAGCCTGGCTGGAGGCCCTCTCCCAGGCAGTCTAGTGACCTCTGTCCTGAGTTCTAGCCCTCTCTCAGATATCCAGCACTTTGTATTTTGGACTCAAACAGAGTTTCGGCTTCACTGTAACTGAGCTCCGGGGAGGCGAGGCCATGTCTTCGTATTATTCACTTTCCTCAGGGCCTTCTGACTGTTCTGGGACACAGGCCACGCAAAGCCCGAGACCACGTTCAGAAATGCTTCTGTCCTAAGCAAGCCCTTGTCCTTCATTGGCTCATTTTCCCAAACCCTCCTTACCGCAACTAGGAACTCTTTCCAGTGCTTTGATTGGTTCTTAAAAAGAGGAGAGAATGTGCTGGAAACCGAGAGAGATACCCTAACACACAAGAGAGAGGGCTGTATGGGGTGGCCCTACTGACCCTCCCAGGGTATGTTTGGGTGCTGTGGGTGACCCGAGAACTCCCCTATGCTGACCCAGACTCCTGTGCGACCTATTTGTCACCCCTCCCAGATCCCAGGGGAGCCCACCTCCATCTCCCATCCAAACACCCTGGCTTATCTGAAAATTAACTGCATCACTGATCATTGGCTGCCCCTGAACGAACGTCTTCCTTCTCTGGGCCTGTTTCCAGCTTTGGAAAGGGGGACCTAGACCTCAGTCTCAAGGAAGCCTTCCAGCTTTAGGTGACTTTGAGCTGCACAGGGTTAGATAGCTAAGGGTCCAGGCTGCCTGCCAGACACGTGCCACTTGCTATGTGACCTTGGGCTGTGCAACTAACATACCCTTTCTGAACCTGCACAGAATAACCTGAAAACTAGAACGAGTCCACCAGGGTTGTTAAGAGGGGGAAAGAGTTAACGGATAGAAAGAGCTGGCAATTATTAGGCACCTGGTTCATATAAGTCCTCAGGTAGAGGCCTGCAGGCAGGGGCTTTTCCACCTGTCCCAGCGACTGAGGGACACTACCCACCTGATGTCAAAGGCCGAGCCAAAGAAGGAGGGTCGTCGGGTCTGGGCAGAAGCAGCTGTGTAGGGGGGTTGCGGGTCCCGGTCGTTCCAGTACATGTCCCGTTCCAGTGGGGGCAGGTTCTGATGCATCTCATCCACAGCCAACAGGGACACCTGGCCGGTGTGGACAGAAGCGGAAGTGCAACAGGAGCAGGGGGTTGGGTGAAGACTCAGCTTACTATGGGCCTCAGTTTCTCTAGCTGTGACATGGACAGACTGATGCCTCTCTGCAGCCTCTGAAGTTGGGGTAAGGGCCTTGTGAGTGAGTGATTGGCTGAGGAAAATGGGCATTCACACCGAGGCCTCCCTGCAGGACTGGGGGTCCCCTCAGCTGCAATCTTTGAGTTGGGTCTGTGGGATGGCCTGCCTCCCTCCTTCCTCTCCCCCTCCCTGTCCCTGTACCTGAAGGCTCCGATCCACAATCCAGTTGGTCTCAAAGTCATCGTCATCCTCTCCAAACGGGTTGATGAGCTGCTCGGCGACCTTAGGGGACAGGTGAGGCTCTGGGAGTCCTAGACAGGACTCTATGAGGCACCCTCAAATCCTGGCTTCTGCCATTTCCATGCACCCCACTCAAGGCCCTTCTGCATGACCACCAACTTCAAAGTTACCATAGGACAGCACCAGACACCCCAACACTGATACCCCTACTCCACTTCTGGTGACCATGCTGCTCCCCTGGACCAGTCCCTCACTGACCCTGTCACCTCACTGAATCTCACCCAGCACAGCATCATTGTATTCACTCATTCATCTCTTCAAACATGCCTTTATTCATCCTTTTCTAACATAATAGACATGTATGCTGAAGTTGGTCTGGATTAAAGCAAGGTCAGAGCAGGCAGATTGCTCTGAGCTAATCGCTAACAGGTGACAAATCCCTGCAGAGGTGATGAGATGTGTGAAAGGCTCCGGGGACATTGTGGGGGCCTCGGGGGCCACTGGAGAATCTCCAGCAGACAGGCCACGTGATGGGTTTGATCTGTAAACACGCAGGTTAACGGAGAGCACAGGAAGGGAGCAGTGCATGCTGGGACATGGACAGGAGCGGAGGCCGGCAGAACTGCCACCCACACAGCTACCAAAATAAAGGGAGAAAAAGGGAAGACGGTGGGGCGGGGGAGGAAGGAAAAATGGAGAGGAAGCTGTTATTCATGCCTGTTAGGAAGAGAAGTGGACGTGGGGGGGGAGCACCCTGGGGCGAGGACGAGATATCTCCCAAACAGCCGCCTTGAGTCAGGCCGATGGTGCCACCTCTCCTTCCGGGGGTGGGGGTTCGTTAATCTCAGTGTTGGACTAAGTCAGAACCCCAAAGCCAGGCCTATCGCTGTGGACTCCATTCTGACTCCCGGCAACCCTGTGGGTGAAGAGAAGCACTGCCCATGAGGTTTTCCTGTCTGTAGGCTGTGAAGCTGAGCGCTGCCAGGCCTCTCTTCCGATGCACCACTGGGGAGGTTCAAACCGCCAACCTTTAGGTTGTTCTTATGTTCCACTGAGTGGGGACCGATTCATAGTTGACCCAACAGTAGGTTTTCAGAGGCTGTAAATCTCATGGGAAGAGATGGACACTCTTTCTTCCACAGAGCAGCTGGTGGATTCAAACCCCGCTCCTTTAGATTAGTAGTTCAACGCAAGCTGCTGGCATCATCCGGAGACCTGCTCTTCTAAGTTGTTAGCTGCTGTCAAGTCGATTCCTGCTCCATGGTGACGCTGTGAGTACAGAGCAGAACTGCTCCGGGACTTTGAAGGATGTGAACTTTCAGAAGCAGAGAGCCAGCCAGGTCTGTCTTCTGAGACACCTCCGGGTGGACTAAAACTGATTGTGTCATTCAGGGATTCCCTTCATTGAGTGCAGGGGCTAGATTTGTGCCAAAGAGGAATTTCTGGGTTGAGTAGGAAGCCACCGATAGCAGAGCCTGACTCTGTCCCTTGTTCCACACATTTCCATTGTTCTGATCAAATACTTGAGGAATATCCTCATAAAGGGCCCCGGATGATTCGACTGCGTGAGGTTTCTCTGCAGCTCTCACATCTGCTAAATTCAGACCTTACAGAGAGCCTGGGAATCAGGCCAAGGCCTCGAAGCAGGTCTGTCTTCTCTCTGCCAGTTTGTCGGAAGGAAGATGAATGTTGTTGTCAGGGGCCATCGAGCTGAGTAGGACTCAGAGCAACCATATAAACAACAGATCTGAACCCGCTCCTACGCCACCGTCATCATCCCGGACACACTTGAGCTCACAGCTGCAGTCACCATGTCAATCCGTCTCATTGATGGTCTTCCTCTCCTTCACCGACCCATCACCTTTCCAAGTGTGATGTCCCTCTCCAAGGAACAACCTCTCCTAGCAACATGCCCAAAGCATGAGATGAAGCTTTGTCATCTTTGCCTCCAAGGAGCCCTCTGGCTGTACTTTCTCGAAGACATTATCTGTTCTTTTGGCAGTCCACGGGATACTAAATACTCTTCTCCAACACCACAGCTCAAAGGCATCAATCCTTCTGCCATCTTTATTCACTGTCCAGCTCTCAGATTTGAAGGAAAAGACCACGGCCTGAATCAGGAGCACCTTACTCTTCAAACTGACATCATCATTCCTCAGTAATTTGGAGAAGTCTCTGACTGGAGATTTGTCCAGTGCAAACCATCTCCTGATCTCCTGACAGCTGGTACCAAGGATCCCAGGAAGATGAATAGATCAGTAACATTTAAAACCCTCCCACTGGGTGTGGTCAGTGCCCAGTACCATTCTTTTTACATTTAAGACTCTCTTTTTGGCTGTTCATTCTCCCTTTACTCCAGCCCCTGCCCATGACCTCCCAGGGTACACCCACAGCCTTGCCCAGCAGACGCACCTTCAGCCAGCCAGCATAGAAGAAGAACTGTAGAAATGTGAAGACGGGTACAAACAGGTCCAGCTCGTGGCCAGGGTAGGCTTTGGCTGGGTCCAGAAATTGCCGCCCAATCAGACAAGCCACAAAGAAGCTATAGACAGCCACTGTGACCACCTAGGAGGATGGAGAGGGGGTGGAGGCAGACACAGGCTGGCTCAGGGCCCTCTCTGGGCTGACCCCTCACCCTCAGGTGACTATGGGTCACTATTTTATCTTCTATAAAATGGGGATAGTCAGGAAACCATGGAACAGAACTCAAGCATAGAAAAGCCTAGGCTCAGGGGTCCAATAGGGACTGGTGGATCCCCTAAGTATGGCCTTTGTTGTTGCTAGATGCCGTTGAGTCAAGTATAACCATAGCAACCCTATGAACAGATCTAAACCCTCTCCTTCCCTGTGCCATCCTCACACTTCCTGACACACTGGAGCCCACTGCAGCAGTCACTGAGTCAATCCACCTGACTGAGGGTCTTCCTCTCTTTCACCAGCCCTCCACCCATCCAAGCTTTAATGGCCCTTAGTCACCCTTCAGATCAAAACAAAACTCACATCCATGGCCCAACTTTCAGCCAAATAATAGACAGGCCCATGATGCGACCAGAGAGGCATGCACACTCCCCAGAGTACCCGGAACCTCACTGTTGTCGTTTCCAAGTCACAGTGACTCGTCTATGGACTCTGGAGGTAGATCTCAACAGAAGACTGTCCAACTTCCTCTCAAGTAGCTGCTGGTGGATTAGAACCACCCACTACCCCAATCCCCCACCCCAAGAATCACTCCACTTTTGGGCTGGAAGCACAGCTCACTAAGGGCTACACCACCAGGGCCTCCCTCAAACCCATTGCCTTTGGGTCAGAATGGCTGAACCTCCCTTGAGGTTCTGAAGCTGTAAATCATATGGGGGGACCCGTTTCTGTCCAGCACTGCCGCTGGTGGACTTGAGAAGCCAAAGAGCGGCCAACTTTGGGTTAGTAGCAAACTCCCCACTCTATAAAAGAACCAGTTCTGTAAGATTAAAAGCCGCATTTGCCCTGAAAGCAAGGAGGAGTAGGATGGAAATGAAGATAAGAATGGTAGGGAGGAAGTAAGGAAAATGCAATTATATTGTAATTAATGCTATAAAACAAAATGTGTATAATTGGGGGAAAAACAAGGTGCTTTGTAAATTTTCACTTACAACCACAATTATAAAAAAACAAAACAAATCCAAACTACAAAAGAAAATGGGAATAATCACATGGGCAAGGTACACAGTTTTAATCCACCAGCTGCTTCATGGGAGAACGATGACTGATCTACTTCTGAACAATTCACTGCCTCTGAAAAGCCGCTGGGGGTCAGCTGTGAGTCTGCCTTCAGGTACACAACAACATGACCTTAATGGGCTGGACTAGACAGAAGCCTGGGCTTGGAACGACCTAGAATCATCACCTGATCAAAGGTGAGCCTCCTGGCCTCTAAGCATGTCCTCTATCCCGACAGGCCGCTTCCTAAATTGTCTAAATTCGAGTAGCAGGGCTCCCCAGCCCCGTCCTCACCTGCGTGTAGACCAAGGGGACACTAATCCAATCATAGGCATAGAGTTGTCCACAGTGAGATCGCAGAATGTTTATTTCCTGAGGGAGGAGGCACAGCGGGGCTGACCACCACCTGCTCACCCAGGCTCACTCCCAGCTCCTCCCCAGCCTGGGCTGTGTGGCCATGGGCAGCTTGATGAACCTCTGTGTCCCCCCCGGGAGGAATCAGCACCTCACAGGCTCATGCGGAAAACAGATGGGGAAGATTTTTGCGTATAAGTTGGAGGGGGCAGACAGTGGGGAAAGTTCCTGCAAGTTTTGGGAAGACCCCCCTGCAGCCCCGGGCGACAAGCCTCCTGTGTTTGATAGCCAGTTCCCCAGGCCACATCCTTCCTCCTCCTCCGCAGCCCCACTGGGTGAGGAGCTCACACTGAGCAAGCTCTGCAGCAGGATCGAGTCCCGGATGCGCCCTCCTCTCCAGGCCTTCACCGACAGGTTAGCAAACCACACCCAGGGCACCCAGAACTTGTTGTGAGGCCCCTCGAGGCTTTCCAAGAGCTTGTGTTCCGCGGCGGTCATAAAGCCTGAGGGGCAGAGTGGACAAGGCATTGGAGAGGGGAACCTGCAGAAGAGGGAGGCCAGAGCTGGGCGGCCAGGGCCCCAATAAGCCCTAAGAATCTCGCTCGTTATACTCTTTTATTTCAAGAACAAGCTCGTGGGAGGGGGCTGCCTGGAGCAGGTCAAGGCTAGGGTCACAGACCGGAAACCAGAGGCAGGAAAGGAAGGTCCCAAGGAGGCCGACTCCATGCCGCACCACTTTGCCCAGCCTCCGCCAGTGTCCCCTTAACCTCCAAAGTCCTTACACACACCTCAATCCCCTTATTCTTCAAGGGTAGCTTCCTGGCTCTCCCCTTGCCAGGCACCTGATTCTACTCCGCCCAATCCGGCTCCTAAGTCCTGCCCACCTACCCTCTAGGTCCCGCCCACAGGCCAGCCCCATCACGCACAAGGCTCCGCCCATCACGGATTCCCCGCCCATCTCTGGCAGTCCCCGCCCATCCCTCTAGGGCCCCGTCCCTCCGTAGCCCCTCCCATCGCCCCGCCCGCCACAGCCCCGCCCCGTGCTCGGCCCCGCCCACCACTCTCCCCCGTGCCGAGGGCCCCGCCCACCTGCTTTAACCAGGTGCTGGGTGCTGGGGAAGCGCTTGTAGACCGCGGCGCTGACGCTGCGCAGGATGAGCACGCTGGCCAGGTTGGCGTAGCGGATGAGTGTGCGCCGCAGCATCCGCCCGTGCTCGTCCTTGCCCTCCACCACGCTGGACACCAGGTTCATGAGGCGGTCAGGCCACGGCATGCTCTCGTACTGGTTCCACCAGCGAGTCACCACCAGCGTCACGTAGAAGCCTGGGCAAAGCGGGGCCGGGAGCGGGGCGGGGGCGAGGCTGTGGCCAGGGCCCAGCGCCCGCCACGTTTGGCGCCCAGGAAGAGGAAGGCTGCCAGAACCTCGCTTCTCCAAGCAAGGAGTTTTGCAGGGTCCCAGGCCAGCCTGCCCCAGCTCAGATATCTACCCAGCCCTCTCTCCTGCACAGGAAGCCTGCAGCAGGCCATAATGGCAGCGCTTCCCACAGAAGCAGTGCTAATGATAAGGCACCATTTCTAATGTCGAACCTCAGTGTCTCTGGTTGGAGTTTCCATGTTTACCTGAACTACAGAGGCAGACAAGCCCCTGGCTTCATCCCTACCTCCTAGCAGTCGGCCCAGGGCCTTCCCAGGGAGCGTGTGACCAGAAAGGTCAGACATTGCGAGGAGGGCAGCTGGGGCACCTTCCCCCAGACCCCCTCGGCCTAGGGGCCACCTGACTAGGCACAGAATGCCGTTCCCAGAGGCCACAGATACGAAGGGCGCCCCACTGAGGCAGGTGTTTCTGATGACACTCCCCTCCTCCCAACTTCTGCTCAGCTTGATATTGGGGGAGGAAGATCGTCCCTGAATGCCTGAATTGAGGGCGGGGTCGTGTGCACAGTTTAGAGATTGCTGGGGGAGCTGGTCACCCTCTCCACTCCTCCATGGGAAAGGGGGTGGGGGGGGAAGCTCACCCAACACGAAAGAAATGGGAATGAGTTGGATGGAGCTGTCACAGTACAAAACCAGCTTCTCAAATATCAGCTGCTGTTCACTGGAGAGAGCAAGCCTGGGGGAGGCGGAGCAGAGATGGGGGACGCTGTGAGGCAGAGGCTGTGCTGGCCAAGGCCAGGGTGGGAGGCCAGCCAGGCCCCAGGGTATGAGGGTGCTGCCTCTGCCCTCCACCCACCCCCCAGCCCCCCAGCCTCCCTTCTCTTCCACTGCCTCAGCCTCAGGGCCTGGAGCTGCCTCCTGTCTTCTCTGCCGCCATGAATTCAGCAGGGCTGCTGACTCTGACTGGCAGCGGCCACTTAGAGGAGCCTCCATGCGTTAGAGAGGAGAACTGCTCCAAGGGATTGCTTGGCAGGAAATGTCTGTGTGGAAGCAGGTTGCCAGGTCTTTCTTCTGCAGTGCATCTCAGGTTCTCTGTCTCTCATGGCCAATGAGGTGGGACTAGCTCTTAGCTGACCTTGCAGCAGGTTTTCAGAGGCTGTAAATCACATGGGAGGAGATCACACCAGAGAGGCCCTGCCTTTGGGTTAGCACTGTGTCTCCCTACAGTCTTATGCTGCCAGACCTTCCTACCTTCAGGTTCCTTAAAAACCAAACAGACGCATCTGAAAAAGAAAACCATCACCAACAACAAAAAAACCAAAACACAAACCCAACAACCCACTGCCATGGATCCATGTGTTGTTGTTGTTGTT